TATCTAACCTAATCGACCAATTATTATTTTTATTTATTTTTTCTATTTCCAATCTTGATTTTTTTTATCTGTATTATCGAAATCGCCAATTTGATTTTATTGTTATTTTTAATAATATTAATATTTTTTTTTTATTTTTATTAATTTTTTTTTAATTTTTTATTTTTATTTTTATTATATTATATTTTTTTAGAACAAAAAAAAATGAAAAAATATAAAAAAAAAGAAGAGGAGGAAAATATGAAGCAGTTTAAAATGATCAATTTAGCAAATTAAATGAACACCGCTAATAATCCATGACACCATGTTACCGAAACAATTTTCAAATTTTACTGTACTTCCGTTAATGAATTTTAAAAATTCCAACACAGCGTGGCGGGAATAAATAAAAATATATATACAATATATATTTCGCTATAACATTCGCGATACTGTTTTGCTTTTTCTTAAACTTGTTCACACTTGATGCTAATGACTCTCTTATTTTATTTGAAAAAAAAAGTGAGAGAGAAAAAAACGAGTTATATATATATATATTATATGCTTCACGTGTAAAATGAATGACGGTAAATTACTTATTTCCACGTTCCTGTTAAATGTTCGACAAGCATCCTTTTCCTGCTGATCATATCGAATAAATACATATATACATGTGACGTCTTCTTAATTATAATTAATCAAAAAATATATATCTATAACGCGTAAATGAAGATTCACTAGAATTAGAACAATCCTGCACGATATTCAATATAAAAACCGTTTGAATAAATTGATACATACATATATTAATATGACAGAAAAAGAACATAGCGTGTGAGTCGAGATATAAACTACATCCAATAAAAGAAAAAAAAAGAGGGGACATTAAAAAAAAAAAAAAAAAAAAAAAAAAAAAAAAAAAAAAAAAAAAAAAAAAAAAAAAAAAAACTAGGAATTCAGGGTATTCTTAATTAACTTTTCCAAACACATAGCAATTAAGTGAATCTGGTTCTTGCGACATATCACACACCGGTTTTGTAATCATACCTATCTTGATTTTCACTTTCAGAGTATATGGATAATTAGGCGTCTTTGTTTATTATCTAACTAATTATTTTCCTTTTTTTTTAACGAAAATAAATTTTATAAAAAATTCAAAATAAATATTTATTTGATCTTAATAAACATTTATTTTACTAAATATTGTTATTCATTTGTTTATTTATTTAAGAATACAAACGGGTTAAAATAAAAAAATTAAAATTTTATTTTAATAATTTTTTTTTAAAATATTTTTAATAAATAATTTATTTTAATCCTTTTTTTATTTTAATAAATTTTTCGAATGAAAAAAGAATTATGATTGAGTCGAATAAACTTTTTGGTTGATTCAAGAAAAATTTGGTTGTTTCAAATAAAATTTGGTGTATTCAAGCAAAATTTAATTGTTTCAAACAAAAATTTGTTTGTTTCAAACAAATTTTTTTCCGAGTAATAAATTTAAAAAAAAAAAAATTCAAGTAATGATGAAAAATGTATTTTTATAATAAAATACATATATGTATGAAAATATCAAAAATAAATAATGACAAATTAGTTTTGGATTCTTTCCAAATTTCATATCATACTCCTGGGAAAACTTATAGAATTTGATTTGAAAAACAAGTTTTCAATTTAGTCAAATGGGAGAAAATAAATATAATTTGACTGATTCCCAGTCACATTGTAAATAAATAAATAAATAAGAAAAAAACAAATGATAAATAACATATTTTTTAAACAATATATTTTTCTTTCCATTATTGTTTAAATGAAATAATTATGTATGTAGATAATGATTTGTAAAGTAACAAAATAGGTGTTATAAGGTGACCTATATATATATATATCTAAATTTACTGGGTCATCATCCTTTTATTATTTTTTTCTTGACAACAAAATTACGTTAATGTGACACAGACAAATAATAAATGAGAAGGAAATGCTAAGTAATTTTTCTTCATGAATTCAAGGTTCCTTTCGAATAAATCACTTCCTTTTTAACGTTCAAAAAAAAAAAGAGTAATCATGAGAGTAATGAAAAAAATTTCCCCAAAAAAAATTATTCAATACTTGGACATCCGCCGGAAGTTTTTCACGTAATTTTATATTCAAGAATTTTTTTTTCTCTAAAATAACTGTGGTTTCTGTCAATGTTTATAATATTTAAAAAAATAAATATAAAATTTAATTTATATTAATTTTATTTACTTTAATTTTATTTATATAAATTTATTTATTTAAATTTATATTTTTATACTATAATTATATTTTTTATTAATTTATTATTATTATTAAGATTAGTTTTCCTGAAAAATGAAAAAAAAAAAATACAAAAATCTCCTGAAAAGAATTGAAAATAATTTCCGTATTTAAAAAATATTTAATTGTATGAGATAAGAGAGAAAAAAATAATAAAAATTTTCAAACTGATGGACGTTTGTCGAAAATGATTTTTTTTTTTTTTGTAAATGATTAAAGTCATAATCTTTGATAGTGTAAAAATTACAAAGTAAAAATTCAAACAATTATGTCAAAAGTCCTTGTAAAATGAAACTAATAATAATAATTAATAATAAATACCACTTATGTAAGTTTCATTTAAGAATGACAATCTAGTGTTTCACATTGATTATTATTATTATTATTCTTTTCTTTCCTCAAGTGTAAAACTCTTTAAAGATATCTTAGCGTTTAATCAAAATTTATGGTGCGCTAAATGGTCGCGCAATATTTGTAAAAAATAATAATTATATTGCAATAATTTTTAACTTTATGTAACTATAAAATGGTAATAGCCTATAATATTCAAAAAAAAAAAAAAAAAAAAAATCCCAGAATAATATTAAATACATTTTTTTTCACGAAGAGAATTTCTATAACTTGGCATTGAAATCTCCCTTTAAAAGGATGTAAATATCAAATTCTTCATTTTTTAATTTACTAATAAGTAATTAATGGTAATTAAATAAAATAAATAGAAGTTAAATCAAATAAATAATAATTAATCAAATATATGACTAATAGTTAAATTTTATTTTAGTCAAAATGACTATTTTGTTCAAAATATTTTAAGGTACAAATTCAAATTTTCAAAATAATTGAATTTCATATATTATTTCAAATAATTTAATATTCGAAGAATTCTATTAAAATTATTAAAAATAAATATTTTCATAGATTTTTAAAATTCAAATTTTTAAAATAATTGAATTTTAAAAAAGCTACAGTTAAGATTTCTCGAATTCATCAAAAAAGATATTTTTGAATTGAAAATATTGTAAATTCGAATTGTTGAGGAATTTTTTAAATGAATTTTAGGGAATAATTCAATTATAGAGAAATTTTAATTTGAAAAATATTTAAAATAATTGAATTTTCGAAAAAATTCCATTAAAATTATTTTTCAAAAATTTCCTAAAGATTTTTTAAATTTAAATTTTCAAAATAATTAAATATCAAAAGAGCTACATTTAAAATTTTTGAAATTAATTAAATTTTAGGAGATTTTGAATTGAAAATTTTGTAAATTTGAATTTTACAAAAGACTTTATTGAAAAAAATTTTAGGCAATAATTGAATTTTCGGATAATTTTTAATTGAAATTTATTTCGAATAATTGAATTTTCGAAGAATTCTATTAAAAATTATTGAAAATAATTAATTTCGCAAGGATTTTTTAAATTCAAATTTTCAAAATAATTGAATTTCAAAAAAGCTACAGTTAAGTTTTCTCAAATTCATCAAACAAAAGATTTTGAATTGAAAATTTTTGTAAATTCGAATTGTTGAGGAATTTTTTTAATGAATTTTAGGGAATAATTCAATTTTAGAGAAATTTTAATTTGAAAAATATTTGAAATAATTGAATTTACGAAAAAATTCCATTAAAATTATTTTTCAAAAATTTCCTAAAGATTTTTAAAATTTAAATTTTCAAAATAATTAAATATCAAAAGAGCTACATTTAAAATTTTTGAAATTAATTAAATTTTAGGAGATTTTGAATTGAAAATTTTGTAAATTTGAATTTTACAAAAGACTTTATTGAAAAAAATTTTAGGCAATAATTGAATTTTTGGATAATTTTTAATTGAAATTTATTTCGAATAATTGAATTTTCGAAGAATTCTATTAAAAATTAAATAAAAAACATGAAGATCGTTATCTTTATGTTTTTTATTTAATATCGACCGAGTGATAAAATCATTTTATTTATCTATTAAAAATTATTGAAAATAATTAATTTCGCAAGGATTTTTTAAATTCAAATTTTCAAAATAATTGAATTTCAAAAAAGCTACAGTTACGTTTTTTCAAAATCATCAAACAAAAAATTTTGAATTGAACATTTTGTAAATTTCAATTACTAAGGAATTTTTAAAACAAATTTTAAGAAATAATTTAATTTTAGAGAATTTTTAACTGAAATTTATTTCGAATTCAATTTTCGAAGAATTCTATTAAAACTTATTGAAAATAATTAATTTCGCAAAGATTTTTTAAATTCAAATTTTCAAAATAATTGAATTTCAAAAAATCTGCAGTTACGTTTTTTCAAAATCATCAAACAGAAAATTTTGTAAATTTCAATTACTAAGGAATTTTTTAAACAATCTTTAGGAAATAATTTAATTCTAGAGAATTTTTAATTGAAAAATCGAAAAAAGATTTAAATACTTTAATTTTTCGAAGAATTCTATTAAAATTGTTAAAAATAATGAATTTTCCATTTCAAATTTTTAGAATAATTTTGTAAATTTGTAAATAAATAAAAACTGAATGAAATTTTAATTTAAAAAAAAAAATAATTTTCAATCATATTTTCCCAAAAAAAAAGTTTATTAGAAACAAATTCAAATAAAAAGTCAACAAAAAAAAAAATTCCTATACACAATCCTCGACCTATGTCCACTAAAAATTAACGCTTCACACATGAGCATTTATTAAATATTTTTTTTTTTTTTTTTTTTTTTTGGTTCTCACACACTATATATTTTTTTAAATGGAAAATTATATGGTATTATTATTTTTGATTGTATAGAATATTATAATAGTGCGAGGTAATTACCGATGATGATTTAGGATGTTATAAAAAAAAAGAAGATGTGTATACGCAAGAGATATTTGTTAAAGGGGAGTACATAAAAAGATAAAAAGTAATAGAACCTTCCTCAGTGTCTGCCAAGTGAGCCTGCTTGTCTGGCCTCTGCCTTCTTGTGGCACATCTACCTCCAAGTTGTTGGTTGGCTCTTTGGGTTTTAGTTGCGCGAAAGCTACCGGTCGTGGAACACACACACGCGATTATCGGGTGCCATCGTTTCCATGGATAATAGGTGACGACAAGTCTTTTTCACATTTTGGATAACGCATCATCAACGACAACTGCAAAACAAGGTTCGTTGACCATCGGTCATCAATGGTTTTTTTTTTCTTTTCTTCTTTTCTTTTTTGAATACCTCAATTTTTTAAAAATCAATCATCAACCAAAGTTTCAGCGAATCCTTAGTAAAGCACCCTGCAAAAAAAAAATGAAATCGTTAAAATACATTCTGTCTTAAAATTTAAAAATATTAGTAAAAAATATAAAATAATAAAAATAAATTACAATATTAAAATAATAATAATAATAAAACAGTAGTAATAATAAATAATAATAAAATAGTAGTAATAATAAATAATAATAATAAAATAATACTAATAACAAAAAAAAATAATAAAAATTATTATAACAAAAAAATAAAATTACAATAAAAATTTAATTTGATGGTAAAAAAATAGAAAAATAATATTAAAGCAAAATCATGTAAATGAAGCCTTGCAATTTAAATGACTGCACTAATTTAAAACTTATATATTCATAATTAAACAAGGTGTGTTAAATTCCGGTATTTTGTTTAGTTCATTTTTTTCACCTTTCTTTGCCAATTTATATAGATATAGTCAAATCGTTTATCTTATTTGAAAAGCGATAAAAGTGTATATAAAGTAAACAAACAATTTTTTTTTGCAAAAAAATATAATTTTTCACTATTTTTAAATAAAAACAAAAAATTTTTTTAATTAATCAAAAAATTAGGATTAATTAAAGAAAATATAATTGTAAAATATCATCAAAATAAAAGCAATTTTTTAGTAATTGGAACAAAAAAAAACATAAATAATTAAAAAATATTTATAAATTTTTAAGAAAAAGAATTATTATTATTTTCTAATAAGAGAAAAAAAAACATTCACTGTATGTAAATCTGTAAACTCGAAGAATTATTCATCATCTGTATAAAGCGTTATAAAAATTACGTAATGAAAATTTAAAAACAACTGTAAAATGAATAAAATGATAATTAAAAAAAAAGAATAAAAATTTTAATATAAATAAAAAATTATAAATAAAGCAAAAAAAAATTTTAAATAAATAATAAAAAAAAAGAATACATTGGTGTGGTTGTGCGCGAATATAAAATAAAGAAGTTATTTTGTACGAAGGAAAACAGTGAAAACAAGAAGAAAGAGAGTACGCACACTGCACGTGCTTCTTAGTTTACATTTACTATACCTATATATATATATATATATAGATGTATACATATACAGCTAAAATAACGTCAATAATTTTTCCATTCATCTTGAAAGAGAAATTGACATTAGAAAATAATTTTATAAACTTCTTTATGGATATTATAATTGTCCAGGTCAGGACTGCTAACATCATCATTTTATTTTATAACAGATAATGCGAATTTAATATAGTTAAGTTACTATATTTCAAAACAGAATATTATTTTTAATTATTTTAATGCACAAAAAAAATTATACATATATTTATTATTACTATTATTTTTATTTTTATTATTAACTTTTATTTATTTATTTACATAAATAAAAAAAAATTTACAAAAAAAGAGAAACTTTTTTTTTATTATTATTATTATCTATAATTATATATTTATTAGGATTTAGATAGATTTTATTTTTTATTATTTATTATAATTAATTATTTGTATATCTATTTTAATAAACGATCTACATAAATAATTCTTCATTTAGTAAAATTAAAAAAAAAAAAAAATTTAGTAAATAAAAAAAAGACGGAAAATTAAAAATTGATTTAAAAAAAGAAATTAATGAAAATTTAAAATTGATAAAAATAAATGAAAATTCGAAATCGCAGTCAAAAGAAATTTCACTTGGAATTTTTTTATGTAACTTCAGAAACAAAAGACTTACGTTTTATAACCAAAATAAATTTGACACTGCTTTATTCATCATTTGTTACATTAATTCTCCGGAAAATTTCTAATAACTGAAAATTAAAATGTTGTTTTAAATAAAATTGAAAATTTCAACTCTTTTAATTTGAATTACAATTACAAATTATTTTTTGCAAAAAAATAAATAAAATAAATTAGTTAAGAGAATTAATCAAAAAAAATTTATATTGTTTGTAAATTTTAAGGCAATGAAAAAATTTTTTTTTGAAATTTTAATGTAATTTAAAAAAAAATTGTATGAATTTGAAAGTAATTTTTAAAAAAATTATTTTTGTAAGTTTTAAAATACAAAAAAAAAAAAGTTACAAATTGAAATTAAAAATAAAAAATAAAATAAACGGTATTAAAATATAAAGTGTTTAACATTTAATAAAGTTCGTGAATTAATCAGGTTCGATTATATAATTCATTATAAGCAATGTATAAAATAATTTCAATTTTTATTCAATGAAAAATTAAATAAACTTCATAAATGTCAGGTTTACTTCTTCTTATTCCTTTTTTTTTTTTTAATAAGTCACGTGAAAATAAACTGCGTGCTTTACTATTATTAAACAAAAATTACCCGCGACAATAATAATCGATAACAGTTGACAAGAAACATTGTTCCTGTTGAGTTCATTATTTTTTTTTTTTTTTTTATTATAAACAAAAAAAAATTATTTCTATACAGAAATAAGATTTCTATTTCTTATTCTTTTTGAAAAAAAAGTAATTATACACCATATATAAAAAGTACACCATAAGGATCATATTTCTTACTTACATAATGAGAATTACATTTTACGAAGTAGAAAAATTTATAATCAATCTCGAAACATATTCAATTAAACCTGCCTCAATTATTATTCTTTTATATAAAGATAGAAAGAAAAAAAAATAATATAATTGAGGACTTAATAAGAGATTCCATAAATATCCAAAGTACTTAGAAGGATATGATTCTTCTCTCATTAAGTCAATAGTAATTACGATTCTAGTTGAAAAGAACATATAAAATTACAAATAATTAGTACTTGTAAAAAAAATTTGTTTCGAAAAAAAAAATATTTTTTTTCCCCTTTATGGTAAAAAAAAATTGACCTATATGTAATTTATCATTTTATATTTATCAACAAAATGGAAAAAAAAAAATTTAATATTCTGTCTACGTATTATGCTCTCTATAATTATTGCCTAGTATTATATATGTGCAAACCTTATCAAGTTGATAAGATTCAAAACGGAAACATAACGATTAGAATAATTTAAAACGTCTTTATACACTTTAATATCGTCACACACATTCTGGACTTCACAAAATTTGCTTTTTAATCTAATTGTTTTTTTTTTTTTTTTTTTTTTTTTTTTGTTTTTTGTTTTTTTTTACAATAATTATTCTTGAAAAGAACAAAAGAATTTATGTAATACACAAAAAAAAATTTATACAACACAAACATTAACTTGACAGTTTAATTTAATTTTTTGCGAAAATTGTTTTTTTTTCTCTCTATATGCGGTTTTATATTTTTAGAAATACTTAAGTATTTTGCAAATCTATTTTTAATTATTTTTAAGTAACATACAAAAATACATAAATAGAAAAAATAATTACAAAAAAATCCCTTGAATTGGAAAATAAGTTTAAAATAATTTTGCAAAATTCTAAAGGGAGGGAGAGAATTTAAAAATTCTAATTTGCAAGTAAATTGAAAAAAAATAGTATTTTTACTTTTAACTATTTTATTATAAATGTCCCTGATAAGATTTCCAAAAAAAAAAAATTCAGAAAAAAACCAAAATTGTATTTTTTAAATATAAAAAATAAAAATAAGTAAAATATTTCTTAAAATTTATTACCTAAATAATAAATAATTTTTTAATTAAGTCAATTAAATGGTATTTGTTTTAAATACAGAAATTATTGATTCAAATAAAAATTATTTAATTCAAATAACTATTTATTTGATAGTAGTCAAATAACCGAGTACATATTTGAATCAAATAAATTTTTTCACTTTATTCTTTGGTGCAAATTAAAAAAAAAAATGTCAGTCCACTTTTATTCAAATTTGTAAAAAATCGTCTTTTTTTGCTATATGAATTACTTAAATTTTTTGAATATAATAAAATTAAATATTTTGTTCAATAATTTATAATAAATAAAAATTTATAATAAAAAATTAAAATTGCAAATTAAAATTTACTAATTCATAGACAAAAAAAAATGTCAGTCACTATTATTTAAATTAGTTTAAAAAAAAAATTGTTATTAATAATTATGATTCAAATGGAACAAAAATTTCTTCACTAATTAATTAGAAAAAATTTTTTTTTAAATAAACCATTTCATAAGAAACTGACTATATCACTAGGATGATAAATTACAAATTCCACGACACATCATATAAATAAGAAATTTCTCATATTTCATAAAATTCTTTATAACCAGTCTATTACATTGAAAGGATTTAAAATTATTAAAATATTTTTTTAATGTGATAATAATTATATTAATAATAAAAAAAATTTGTTAGGACAATTTTTGCCTCCACTAGTTTTATATTTATTTATTTATTCATATATAAATAATTTTTTATTTTTTATTCTCGTTTATAAATATCGTTTATTTGATAATTAAAAAAATAAATTAAAAATTGGTCAGGAAAAAAAATTTGCCTAAACAAAATTGTTATTATTAAATTAAATTAAATTAAATTAAATTAATAATTAAATTAAAATAATTTATCATTTAATTAAAATTGAATTAAATTAATTAAATGAAATGAAATTTTTACATTTGTCAGTTATCAGAAAAAATTAAGAATTATTTCAATTTTTTGCCTCCTACACGCTGATTCATTAAACGAGAGCAAAATTTATCAGCTTGTATTGTCAAATTAGTCAAAATGATGCACTGCTTATTATGTAACTTGAGATCACGCAAGATTTAAATAATCTTATATTATATATACGAGAGTAGATTAACAATGTTAAAATATGAATAGGAATTCAGTTCCTGGTTTTTTTTCCCTCTGGCGAGTAAGTCATATCTTTTTTTCTCGCACGATTTTTTTTATTATTATTCTTATTGTGAATTTTTCAAATGTAATGAACGATATCGATTTTTTTTCTCACTATAAAAAA